TTATTGGTTTAAGCATTTAAAATGTCTTAGAAGTGGTGTTGTGTCAAAGTAACTGTAAATAGTGAATATGTACTACACACTAACTGTAAATCATTATTTTGAGCTTGCCAGTTACAAGACAAATGATAAAAAGTTCCTGATGTCTTACATTCATAGGACGCAAAATGAAAGGAAAAGGAAGAGGGGGAAAGATACCTCAAGGTGGACACAAAGGGAAAGTACAGTTTCAGGGCAAGAAAATAAAGTTTGAGAATGAAGAAGATGGCGGCGAAGATGATACTAAAACAGGTATGTTATTTTGTGACCTGGATGCAGCTTCATTAGTACATGGAGCTACTTTCTGGATAAGTGTGTTTAAGATTTGGCCTTACATTGTAATGTATTTCTGTCCTCTGTCAGTATCAGTAAAGAAACTTCTAAGGGTTTTCTGCTCAATTCCTTCCAGAACTGTCCAAAAAGCATATTAAAATAACTACTAGATAGCTGGGACTGTTCTGCAAGGCACCTCAAAGCATTCTGCATTGAAAGATGATGTTTGTCAGGAACATTACATAACTGAACAGACTTAGTCTCTTGAGTGGCGATTTATTTTTTTTTTCCTTGAGGGTATGAGAAGACTAATAGTTCTGCATGTTGGCATTTAGCTTGGAGAAGCTGAAGTTAGTTAAGCTTCTGTTCATTAGTTATGGCATCTGCTTAAACAAGACTCAGTGAAATCTACTTCTGATAGATTATATTCTTTCATCTTCTTAATTGCCCACAGTAATAAGTAACCCCTCTAGCATAGCAGTGCTTGTGGATAAACTGTGAGTTATCCTTGAACATACATGGTAGGAAGAGTTTGTCTTTTCAGAAGATTTCAGGTAATAATAAATTGTTTTATTTCACCATAAATGACTACACGTTCAATCTTGCAGAACCTACAAGTCCCAAAAAGAGACCACTAGATGAAACAGAAAAAGAAGAACCTGCACCAAAACAACTGAAAACAGAAAATGGAGATGGAGATCAGTAATACTAAAATCATGATAATTAAAAAAATGGGTTTATTGTTTCATTTTCAATAGGCTTTAAATACATGCCTCAGTTCAGGAGTTTCTTGGCAGAAAACCTAATGAAATCCACTTCAATGTCAACCTACAATGAGAGGAAAGCTTCATTTTGTTGGGTTACAGTTTTTTGTTTGTTTGTTTTTTTAAGAAGCATGCTTATTCTTAACATACCACCCTGGAAAACTCTTTTATATTTACAGTTTTGTTTATACTGTCAGATCCTCTTAACATCTCTGGCACCTCATTCAGATGTAAAAGATTCTGGACTTTGTAATCTTGTGGTTACGTTAAATAGCAGCTGCAAATAAATTCAGAACTTAAAACTGCTTATTACTGAAGCCTGGATGTTTATGTAGTATAAAGCCCTTAAGTGTGAAGTAGCAAAGCTGAAGGACAGACTTCTATCATTTAAGTTCAAGTTACCAAGAGAACAGGTTCAGATGAGTAAAACTTATAATCATTGCTACTCAAAATAGTTAATAATCTTCCAGCCTTGCTTAGTCTACTCCAGGATTCTCTTTACTTTCCTTATAGTAATATGATAAACTCTTCTAGGCCAGCATTCAGGACCCAGGGATTTGCCTGTGGGCTTAAGCTTCCATACTCCAGCAATCCTGACTTAGGTATTCTGTTGTGGGAGGAAGCGCACAGCTTCCTCCTGCTGCCTCTTAAGATGGTTCTAGGAGGGTTTTCACTAGCTGTAGCTATGTCCAGTACAGAGCACAGAACACTGCAGTAATGCTATAGCTGTAAAATTGTAGTTACTTAGTTCAGTCATAAGTTCCAGTTACAGATAGGATCAAGCAAATTACTATTAAAAGTTGAGTCAAGGAGGCTACCTTTAGCTTTTTTACATCTAGTTGCAGTGCTGGCTTTAATTTTTGTGTGTAGTTTTGACCTGCATTACAATTATTCTTTCCCCTGTTTCAACTATAAAAAGTAGTGAAAGCAATGGAACTTGATGCCGTCATAGTGGCCGTCTCTCAAGTGCTGTGATCATACAGATGGGGGAAACTTACAACTTATTAAGTAGAATTTATTTACCTCCCTAGTGCGAACCAGCATTTTCTCAGTTATGTTTGGTTTAATACTTACTGACTTCTTCTTATGGAACTTGTATGATGCTGGTAGATCGTATCTAAGTTCTGTGAACAGCACAAAGAATGCTTGTTACAACAGAATGACTACTAGGTCAACTGGCTTACATCCTATACCCATGTTCTTCTATTGCCCACCTCTGTTTCCCCTGACTGGATAACTGTTTTGACCTCTGGACTAGATTATGACTAAACATTTAAGCCAATCATGTCAGACAGTAAGTGGCTGGCTGGAATGCAGTTGTGTTTCAAGCACTCGTGCAACTTCCACATCTCCAGCTGTATGACTGCAGAAAGCATTCAGCTGGTCATGTTTAAGAGTTGGGAAGATACTGGCTGTTAAGACTTAATAGATATTAGCCCCAAACAATTTTTTTTCTATAACAACAAATTAATCTTACCTGCTATGACTTCCATCTTCACTTCCCATTCATCTGCTTTCTTCTGAATGTGCTACAATATTAAATAGACAAGGTAGCTTTAAAAGCTCTTTTCTATGCTGTCTTACAAACAACTATGCCCCTGTACTTAAGAAGTCTCCTGTGCTTTTGTTTTTCAAGCTGAAACATTAGATTGCATACTTACCTTGATGTGAGATCAGTTATTTGAAGTGATTAAGTATTTACCCAAAACAAGTTTCATATCCCATAAAGGTGTGAACTAATAGGTGAAATTAGACAACCCTGTTAATGCCAGCTAGTTCAATGCCTTGTTAATGCTCCCCCCTACTAAAATGAATGACTTACCTGCCGTGTGGAGGTTTTGTGAAGGGAATATACAGCTGTTTTTGCCATTTGTAAAGCAGTTTTCAGAAAAATCATATCCATTCCTAAAAGAATTATGAAATTACTAGAATTGTTAAATCCAAGCTTAAACTAGAGGATTTAAAGATCTGTTTCATGCTTCAGTTTTTATGGAGTAATAGAAGTTTGAGAAACGTACACAAATATTTCTAAAGCTTACCCAATCACTTTAGTAAAACAGAAAAATAACTGAGATATGAAAGTATATTCTTTATTTCAGGACCAGCTGTTGTTAGTTGCAATGTTGAAAGTTGTTAATCTGTCTTTAGGATACTGATCCAGATCATTAAAATTCTAGGTAATTACAATAGATAATTGTAATAAAGAAGGGAGATGGTTCCTTCAGAGTTTTCCCTTGCTGTTTCATTCCTAATAATTTCTAACTGACTTTCAAAATTACCAACCTTTATTATGCTTGGTACCAAACGGAGGGTTCATAATAACTGTGTCAAAAGTGTCTGACATGCTGTCAGATAAAGAACAGACGTCACACTGAACCATGTTGATGTTAGTGAGCTCAAAGTCTTCAATATTGCTATTAAATATTTCCAGTGCAGCTGCATCTATGTCAAACCCCACACACAATCTATTGGAAGTAAGAAGTGCCACATATTAGTCTCTTGCAAACTAAAACTGTGTTTAAATTCTATAGTAAAGTCTCAAAAGGGATCTGTGTTCACAATTTATTTTATCTAGGAAATGTAAGAAGCATACACTACACATTCAGTGCTGATGAAAATGCAAGTATTTGCATGTTTCCCCTTCTCAATATTTTAAAGTTTGTGAAGTTGTAAAATGTGTTCATCTAGTGCTTCAGGGAAAGTAAACATTATGGCTTTGATGTTCATGGCTACTGTCCACCTCTCACTATTTGAATGGTTATTGACTGTCTACATGTATTAAATAGCCTAATTATGTGTCAGATTAGGTACCTAAAATCCGCTTAGTTCAGCACTGCTGTTTTCTCATCTTATTTTCTACTTTTATATGCCAGAAAAAACAATGATCAGAACTTAGCATTAAATACTTACCCTGCTCCTAACATTGCACTTCCGATGCTGAGCATGCCACAGCCACATCCTAAATCTGCAATCATTTTGTTTTCAATATCATCAAAAGTACTGTCAATTGTATAAAGCATACATGCTGGGGGGGGAAAACCACACAGGTCAATAATATAAAATACGCATCTGATTAATCAAGAAAAGCTACTGCTGCCTTCAGAAGACTGAACTAAAGGTTTCTTTTCATGCAAAATTAACCTGCTGTTCTCACTGTCTGTAATTCTCATATGTGATAAAAAGTCAAAACCATTTTGACAACTTCTAGAACTCTAGATCTTTGGTGGAGAAATAGAACTATTCACATAGAACTCTATTCTTTGTGAAAAAAAAGTATGTACCTAAATTTGTTCGGGGAAAAGCCATAGGAAGACAAAATATTGGAACAAATCATTACAGTATGGCTGTCTGTGTATCCACTTTTACTGGTTTTTGTGTGCAATTACATGCATTTCAGGTTTTTCATTTACAGACTAAGGTGCTTCTATCACAGTGTTATCATTTAAGTCGATTTACTTGATTTTTGGATTGTGCAAGAAAAGTATACTTCTAATAAAAGGAAGTTAACAGATTATTAAAATATATTTACATTCGTGCTGGATACCGTTCATTAACTACTTCTAGTGTAAAGGTTTCAAAGGAGCTAATGCAGTAGAATACTTCTGAAGTGCTGATTAAGAACAAGTAAAAGAGATGCCAGGGCTGTACATAACCTCTACCTGCGATATGAGGTCTTGTTGGATACTGTTCAAGGAGTATTTTTGGGCTTTCAAAAGTATCAACTTGCTGAAGGCAGCTTTCCAGTTCTTTAAGCTTTAATTTCTTCATGTTTATCAGTTTAACTAAGGAGAAGAATAGGTAATCCGTTACAGCAATATAAATAAAATGCACGTTATTTTATACTGAAAACCCCTCTGCACTCAGCATCCCCCAGGGGGTCTCATGCAGCCGCTTCCCGGGATCCGGCGGAGCTGACGGGGGAACGAACAAGCGAGGCCGCTC